TGTCACACGTGAAACAATAGGAGAAATCTTCAGAAAAAGAACTAAATGAATTGGAAGCAAGCGAATTATTAGATACAGAGTTCAAAACAGTGGTTGTAATGATGCCCAAGGAACTTAGTGAGAACTTCAAGGAACTTAGTGAGAATATCAACAACATTAAAAAGGACCAGTCAAAAATGCCCTGGCCAGTTTGGCTCAGCGGTGAGAGCATCAGATTGCGGACTGAAGAGTCTTGGGTTTGATTCCAGTCAAGGGCACATACCTTGGTTGCAGTTCGTCCCTGGCCCTGGTCAGGGTCATGTGTCTCTCACATCAATGCCCACCCCCCAACTCTATCTGAAGATAAATGGAAAAATATCTTTAGATGAGGGTTAAACATAATAATAATAAAATAAAAAGTCAGAAATGTAGGATGCTCTGACTGAAGTAAAGAAGAATTCACAGGGAATCCATAGTAGAGTAGAGGACACTGAGAACCAAATCAAAGATTTTGAATATGAGGAAACAACACCCAAGCAAAGAGCAGAAAGAAAAAATAACCCAAAAAATATAAAGATAGTATAAGGAGACTCTGGCCAACTTTAAGCTTACCAACGTTCACATCATGGGAGTGCTGGAAGGAGAAGAAAGAGAACAAGAAAGTGAAAACCTACTTGAAAAAAATAATGAAAGAAAACTTTCCTAACTCGGTGAAAGAAACAGACATACAAGTTCAGGAAGCACAGAGAGTCCCAAACAAGATAAGTCCAAAGAGGCCCACACCGAGACACATCATAATTAAAATGCCAAAGGTTAAAGACAAAGAGAGAATCTTAAAAGCAGCAAGAGAAAAGAAGTTACCTACAAGGGAGCTCCCATAAGACTGTCAGCTGATTTCTCAAAAGAAACTTGGCAGGCTGGATGGGAGTGGCAAGAAATATTCAAAGTGATGAAAAGCAAAGACTTACAACTGAGATGACTCTATCCAGCAAAGCTATCATTTAGAATTGAAGGTCAAATAAAGAGCTTCTCAGACGAGAAAATGCCAAAAGAGTTCATCAACACCAAACCAGTATTACATGAAATGTTAAAGGGTCTTCTGTAAGAAGAGGAAGAAAAAAGATTAAAAATATGTATAATAAAATAGCAACATATACATATCAATGATTGAATGTAAAAATAAAAATAAACAAGCAGAACAGAAACAGACTTATAGATACAGAAAACACTTTGATGGTAGCCAGATGGGTGAGGGGGTGGGTGAAAAGATGAAGAGATTTAGAAGGTACAAATTAGTAGTTACAGCCATGGAGGTGTAATAACTGTGTATGGTATCAGATGGGTATGAGATTTTTCAGGATGATCACTTAAGTTTTATAATGTCTAATCACTGGGGTGTACACCTGAAACTAATATAATTTTGTATCTCTAGTGTAATTAAAAAATAAAAAGTGATTTTTTTTTAAGTTAAAAAAAAAAAGATGTTTCTGATGTTTCTCTGCTCTTTTCCTATTTATTCTGCTTCGTCTTACCTTAAGGGTTATTTTGGTTTTGAATTTGCATTTGTTTTGTTTTAATCAGTAGCATACTGCTGACTCTCATTTTTACATCGCTCATTGTCATTGTGACTCCGTTGCTGGGCATTGCTCTGCACTTTGGCCTGCTACAGGTCCAGCCATTCACAGTCGAAAATCCACTACAGTGGTGTCCTTTGGACCAACCTTGTCCAGGGTTCATTTGTCTAGCTTGAAGTGTCTGAAAGATGTGGTCTGGGAAAGTAAACATCATGCCCTGGCTGTCACCAAACAGTTGAATCCAATTAGCCCCACCTGCCCCCAGTTGTTTACTTAATGAAAGACTCGACGCCCCAGCTGTGCCCAGGGACCAGGCACACTTGCTCTTCCCAACTGTTCCAGAGAGGAAGCAACGCACTTCAGAGCCAGTCGGCACCAACAGATGTTTTGCAAATGAAATTTACTCAGCTGTGTCTAGAGGGTGGACCCTTCTCATGGCAGCCGTATCACCTGTTCCAAGAGGTATACCTATTTTCCTCTTCCTCCTGGGAACAGGTACAAATAGTTACACAGATGGCTCTTTCTGTGGCCCATTGAGCTGTGAATTAATTAGTAGATTATGGTTCTGGTAGTGGTAATTAACCCTGCTCCTCTTGTGGAATAATCGGAGATTTAGCTCTACTTTTGGAGGCTATTGGATATGTCCTGGAATTTTGTAGCCCACACAATCTAGTTTAGCACAAAATTATAAACCAATAAATGCAGGATGGAAACTTGCCATTTGAATGAAAAATTCCCTGTAGGGTAATTGTATGTTGCAAATTAATGCCAGTATTTCAAATTATAATATTGGGAATTGCATATTGGACGTTTATTCCAATATGAATTAATAATTTATTTTGAGGGCTCTTATATAGGTAGCGTGTTAGTTCATTTGGATTACATTTTTTAATAAGACAAGATCAATGAATATTAGCAAAAGCAGTAATATACTAGTTGAATTATAGAATTAATCCAGTCTTCCAAAAATGCTAGGTAAATCATGTGGGTGCCTTTAACACAGTGTCCCACTAAGCTAATTCTTTCCATTCCAGCTAGTACTAAGATGAAAATTTCTAGATTCCCAAAATGTGTAGTACCATCTCACACCTGTAAGCCCAAACTGTTTTCTGAGCCCTAGGGCTGAAGTGGGCCAGAATGGATGGGCTCAAAGACTTAGAGGCTGGAAAACTGAGTTAGGTTTGACCTTCTAACTCTGTGGAACAGAATTTGACCTGTAGTGTGGGTATAAGAGGAATTGAGCAACCCAGCTAAAGTTCTTTCTAGGTATGGACACTGAAATTTAAATTTTATATAATTTCCACATGTCACAAAATCTCCTTTTGATTTAAAAAAATAAAATAAAGACATTGTTTATAACATACAGATTATACAAAGTCAGCGGATGGGTCGAGTTGACTGACAGGCCACAGTTTGCCCAATCCATCGTATAGGACAATTGTGAAGTTGTAGGTGATGCGTATAAAAGGAGGGAGAGATTACTGAAGGCTGACATCGTTAACAAATTCTTCACAAAGAACGTGAGGTTTGAGACTTGCCAGAAGAAAGAAGAGCAGGGGTGGGGAGTGATGGACAGAAAGAGAAAGAGAAAAAGAAAAACAGAAACATCAGTGTGATCTCCAGAAAGGATGTGCAGGAGGCAACCGGTGGATGTTTCCATCTCACATCAATGTTTCTATCTCTCCCTCTCCGCCCCCCCCCCCAAAAAAAGTCATTGAGGGAAATGGGAGAGGAGGTTGATCAGAGACAGGTAAAAAGAATGCCAGCAAGCGGAGGGTCTACCTGGCATGTGTATCATAGATGTCAGGTGGTGCCATTCTGTAAGATTGCACCCAGCACCCCAAGTATGAAAGTGTAAAAGTTAGACTGTGGGACTAATCCATAAATATTTCAGAATGATGTAAGAAAAGAAGGGGGGAAAGGGAATTAAAGGTACCAGTGTGAGTCATTTGAGAGTCTGTTTTTGCATCACTAACCAGAGTTACAATTAGAAAACGTGTGCTTGTGGTGAGAATTCTGGAAACCAACTCTGGTTCTCTTATTCTTCTAGCTTATTTTCAGACAACCAGGGCAGCATTGCTTCCTCCAGCATGAGACCATGTTTCCGTGAAACAGGCTGTCATGGCTCAGGGCTTGTCTACAGACATTACACTGTCTCTGGGTAAAGGAGGTTTTATCATACACACATGCATATCCGCCATGCATGCACTGCATGGAGAGACCTGCACGTGACGTCCTCCAGTACCACCCTTCCACCAGAACGAACGCTGCCCGGGCTGCAGGGGAGACCTGGAGCCTGGGTCTGCTTCAGACGGGAGCCGGCTAATTAGCACTCCTTTCATAAATAGCTGTCACTTCTGTCCCCGAGAACTGCTGATGGAGATTTCTAGACCATTCAAATTAGCTATAGGGACAGAAATGAGGAGCTTTTTAATTCATTTGAAATTGAACATTTAAGATGACTTCACAGGTACCTTCTAGTAAGAGCAGTGTCAATAGCGAACCCACGGGCCCTGTTAAAGGGCTTGAAGCCTGTCAACTCTGGGTCACACGTCAAAGGCCACTGCAGAGAGCAAGAATCAAAGACTTTCTGCCTGACATTAGGGGCAGACGGTGTCTCTATGATGGTGAATACAGCGGTGTCCATAGTTCAAACAGCAACTTCAAGTAGAACTAATTAGTAGTTTAAACCAAGAAGTCACAGGACAGCCCTTTGTAACACTGTGTCCTCTTTCGGGCGCCCGTGTACGTTGCTATTTAATAGCATTCTTTTATATGGCTACTCCACCTTATTTAACGTCTTTCTTGAAAGATTCCCCCCAAAACCTACCATACACTTTTATTTATCCTAAGGGGTAAAGGGGACTAATTAGTATTATTAGCTTTCACGATTACTCAACAATGAAGAATCTAAGAATGAAATCTAGAAATGATTGTTCCCAGTAATGTGACCAATTAATGGGTATCACTGTCCCAGCCCAGATAATGGATTATGCCAATAGGAGAGAGGGGTAAGGGCCCTGGCTGGTTTGGCTCAGCAGTGGAGCCTGGCCCTCAGACTGAAGGGTCTCAGGTTCAGTTCCTGGCCAAGAGCACATACCTGGGTTGTAGGTTGGATCTCGGCCCAGTGGGGTCTTGTGGGAGACAACCAATCGATTTGTCTCTCTCACATCAATGTTTCTCTCTCTTGCTCACGCTCCTCACCTTCCTACTGCTCTATCTAAAAATATATGTGTATGTGTGTGTGTGTATATATATATATATATTTATATGTACACATATATACATATACGTGTGTGTGTGTGTGGAAAAATATCCTTGGGTGAGGATTAACAGAAAAAGAGAGAGAGAGATGAGGATCTTTTCTGTGTAGCAAAGGTAGATAACAAGTACTAATCGGATATTAAGCAACGTGCTGACGTGTGTCTTTCTCCTGGTTTTGCTTAGGAGTATTGCCCAATCAGAAGAAAAACTTGTCATCAGTGCATCTTGGGCAAAAGATGACGATATCAGCAGACTCCTGAAATCTCTGCCAAACTGGATTAATATGGCTCAACCCAAACAGCTGAGGCCAAAGCGAGAAGATGAAGAAGATTTCATAAGGTAAAAGATCTGTTTTCTAAGTTGTACCGAACATGAGGAGGAAAAACATCTGTTTGGCTGATTCTTTCTTATGCGAAAAATTCTAAACATCAAGCAGCAATTAACTGCGCTTAGTACAGCCTGTTTTCAGCCTAATGCACCTCATTTCCCATGCAAATATGCCTTGTTCTCAAAACTGTAGATGGCAGCGATTGATATGAATCAAACTGGGAGTGTTGCTAAATCGAGTTAAAATATCTTTCAATTTGTAGGTCATTCTCCCCTCTTCGGAGACAAATATAATTCATTCATTCATTCACTTATTCAGCAAAGCTGTATTCACCTTCTTATGTACCATGCCTTGGAAATATGTCGGGCAGTTAATAAGAAAAGTCCTGCCCATACAGAGTATGTTACAGTTCTTAGCATGTTCTTCAGCTCATAGAACCATTAGTTGAACTTTCTGGAAATACATATGTGCTTCCCATGTCTGTTCATATACATTGTATTATCTCTGGTTCTTTTCTGCTTGTTTTGACAAAGGTAAGGTCTCTCTGTCAACTCTATCACTAAGTGTTTACCTAAGTACAACTGAAGTGATTGACTTAGGGCTTCATTTGATGAAGCTACTCATTTTCACACTCAGGGCCTGCCACAGTGAAATATTGCACCTACTTTGTAAAGTAGGGGGTAAAAGTGGAGGTAATATGTTGTCTCATTAAAATTCAGTTTATTTTTGCCGGGGCCAGCATTGTTTAGTGGTTAGAGCATCACCCCCCACCCACCATACTAAAGGGTTGCAGGTTTGATTCCCAGTCAAGGGCACATACCTGGGTTGCAGGTTTAATCCCTGGCCCCAGTGGAGGGGGGGGGGAGCAGTGTGCAGGAGGTGGCCAATTGATTTGTCTCTCATATGGATTTCTCCTCCCTCCCCCTAAAAATCAGTGGAAAAAATATCCTTGGGTGAGGATTAACAAAAAATAAGTAGATAAAAATTAAGTTTATTCTTACTGTCTTTTGCCTGTCCAAATGCATAAATCAGTAGTACAAATAAAATAAAATAAAATAAAATAAAATAAAATAAAATAAAATAAAATAAAATAAAAGTGCTTTGTTGAGCAAAGACCAAAAAAGGAATAAAAGGAGTAATGACTAATACCTTACTTTTAATTTATCCTAAGACTGCTGTGGGCTTATCTCTTTCAGAGAATGTAGATTGCAGCTATAGATAAATAGGTCTTTAATGCTCACAGAGTTAACCACATTCATACACTATAGTGCCATGTTTTACCAACATTTTATTGTGAAAATTTGCTATAGTGCCATTTAAAACTTTCTCGAATCATGATACTCAAAAATTCAGCAGTAATTTAATCTAAAGCCTTTCTAGCTATATTTTTATTTCTATTATTCACATTATCTCAGAGAAACTTGTTGATTGGTTACTTTGATACAAGAAAACTGTATATTATAGTTTACTTTTTTTAATTAATAGACTTTATTTTGGGAGGAGCAATTTTAGGCTGATAAAAAATTTTGTCGAAAATTACAACTCCCCATATATCTCCTCACCCACCCCCAGTTTTCTCTGTTTTTAACATTAGTGTGGCACAGTTGTTAACATTGATACATTATTGTTGACCAAAGTCTGTAGGTTACATTAGGGTCCACTCTTTTTGTTGTAAATTCTGTGGGTTTTGACAAATGTATAATGAATGGTATCCAACATTGCAGTATCATTGAAAATAATAGTTTCATTGCCCTAAAAATTCTATTATTTCTCCTAGTCACCTCTGCCTTCCTCTCCCTGCACCCCTGACAATTACTGTTTTTTTTTTAACCATCTCCATAGTTTTTTCTTTCCAGAATGTCATATAATTGGAATCATATAGTATATATTCTTTTCAGATTGGCTTCTTTTGCTTATTAGCAATATTCATTAAAGTTTCCTTCATGTCCTTTTGTGGTTTGATAACTATTTTTTAAAAATTCCGAATAGTATTTCATTCTATGGACATACCATAGTTTGTTTATCCATTCACCTACTGATAAAGTTGCTATAAACATTCATGTGCAGGTGTTTGTGTGGGTGTAAGTTTTCAACTCACTTTGATAAACACCAAGGAATGCAATTGCTAGATTGTATGGTAAAGAGTATATTTAGTTTTGTAAGAAAATGCCAAACCATCCTCAGAGTGGCTGTACCATTTTGCATTCCCACTAGCGATGAAGGAGAGTTCCTGTTGCTCCACATCCTTAATAGCATTTGATGGTGTCAGTATTTGGGATTTGGTACATTCTCATAGGTGTGTTTGTGGTATCTCATTGTTTTAATTTTCCTAATGACATATGTTCAGTATCTTTTCATATGCCTACTGTGTGTGTGTGTGTGTGTGTGTGTACACCATTTACATATATACAGTGAGATATCTGTTCATATCTTTTGCCCATTTTTAATTGGGTTGTATGTTTTATTATTTTTGAGTTTTAAGAGTTCTTTGTATATTTTGGATACCAGTCCTTTATAGATATGTGTTTTGCCGATATTTTCTCTCAGTCTATACCTTGTCTTTCAAACTGTACAATGTCTTTTGTAGAGCAGAAGTTTTTAATTTTAGTTGAATTCAAATGTATTGACTTTCTTATTTTATGGATTGTACTTTTTTGCATGATAGTTCTAATTGAGTGTTTTGTAGGATTCCATTTTTTCTCCCCTGTTAGTGTATAAATTATACTTCTTTTTAAAAATTGTTTTTAGTGGTGGTCCAACAGTTTTCAATATACATGTGAACCAATCCAAGTCCACTTTCAAATAGCATCATACCACTCCATGGGGAATGCAAATACCTTATAACAGTGTATCCCAGTTCCTCCTTCCCAGTCCTTACGACATTGCTCACGTTCATTTCATTCATCCATAAGCTATAATCACTGCATACAGTATTATTTCGAACAAACTGTTACCTATTGCTCAATTAAAAGTAAGAGAAATAAAAGGTTATATTTTCCTTTATTTCTTTTCTTCTCTCATTCTCTCCCTTTCTTAATGTAGGTTCAAGTTTTTGACCTGTACCATTTTCCTTTTCCCCAAGGACTTCTTTCAACATTTCTTATAAGGCAGGTCTCCTGGTGACAAATGCTGTCAATTTTTGTCTGTCAGACAGACTATATTTTTCCTTCACTTTGAAGAATAATTTCACTGAGTTTAGCATTCTGGGTTGGTGATTCTTCTAATACTTTAAATATTTCACTTGACTTTTCTTGCTTCCATAATTTTTTTAGGAGAAGCCCAGTGTAATTTTTATTATTCTCTTACAGGTGAGGTGATTTTTTTCTTCTGGCTTCTTTCAGGGTTTTTTCTTTGTTTTGATTTTGTGCCGATTAAATAGTATATGCCTGGATATATATATTTTTGGTGGTTTTCATGTTTGGTGTTCTCTGAGCTTCCTGGGTCTGCAGTTTGGTATATATCACTGGTTTGGGGGGAATTCTCAGTCATTATTGCTGCAATATTTCTTCTGTGTTTTTTTCCTTCCTTCTGGTATTCCCATTACATATACAATACTCCTTTTGTAATTGTTTCACAGTTCTGGGATATTCTGTTCTGTCTTTTCATTCTTGTTTTCTCTTTGGATTTCATATTTGGAAGTTATTATTGACAGTTCTTCAAGCTCACTGATTCTTTCCTTGGTTATACCCAGTTTATTGATCAGCCCAGCAAAGACATTCTTCATTTTTGTTATGGCGTGTTTGATTGCTAACATTTCCTTTTGATTCTTTCTTAGAGTGTCTATGTCTCTGCTTACATTTACCTATAGTTACTTTTATTGAATATACATAGCACATGTGTACATATCAAAGGCACAGCTTGGTAAATTTTCACACTTTTTATTTTGTAACCAGTACCCAGATCAAGAAACAGATAATAACAACAAGAATCTTTTTTTTGTTTCCTTCTGGCCACTACTCGCCTGCCCAATAGTTGTTATCTGACTTCTAGACACATAGATTACTTCAATCTTTTTTTGGATTCTGTATAAAGTTGTGTATTCTTTTATGATTGGCTCCATTTGTTCCACATATGTTGGTGACATTCATCCATATTGTTGTGTTCAAGTTCTTATTACTGTGTAGTCTATATTGTATTCTGTTGTGTGACTACATCGGATTTTTGTTTTATTATTTATTTGTATACACACACACACACACACATAAATATATATTCATTCTGCTGCTTATGGGCACCTGGGTAGTTTCTCGTTTGGAACTATTTTTGCATAGTGCTGCCATGAATATTGTGCATGTCTTTTGCTAACCATATATAAATATTTCTATGGGTTATATGATAAGAGTAGAGTTGCTGGGTCATAGGCTATACATATGTTCAATTTTAGCACATGCTGCCAGACAGCTTTCCAGAGTGGTCATGAGTATGCACTCTCAAAGCAGTGTATGAGAGTTCCAGTTGCTCCATATCTCATCTATTCTTGATATTTTCCATCTTTTAAATATTAGCTTTATTGCAAGTTTGTAGAGGTAGCTCGTGTTGGTTTAATATGCATTTCTCTCATGACTAAGGAAGTTAAGCATTTTTTAATGTATTTTTATGTATTATTGGCCATTAGAATATTCTCTTTTGTAACACATTTAATCAGATCTATAACTCATTTTAAATTAGGTTGTCTCTCTTTTCTGACTTTTTGTAGGAATTATTTATGTATCTGCATATAACTTTTTATGATAGACAGATATCATCTTCTCCCACTGTACAAGTTGCATTGTTATTCTCTTAATGATGTCTTTTAATAAACCAACTTTCAAAATTTTAATAAGTCAAATTTTTTATTTTTTAATGGATAGAACATTTTGTATTCTATTTAGAAATCCTGATTTATATCAAAGTCACAGAGATATTTTTCTCTAAAATCTTTATTGTGCTGAATATATTTTTCCTCAGCATCTGAAATAAATTATAAACTGTTAAACTTTTATTTCCTATTCCTGTTCTCTACAGGTTCTCT